CAACTATTCTCTGGTCAATAAGGTGTAGGACAAAGAGAAGTTAAAGGATATAAAAATTATAAAGTAACTGCATTAACCACTGAGATTTACCTTATATAATAAACGTGACAAACATTTATTGGTGTTCAGGGCAGATTTCCTTTCAGAACACACTCTGTTGGGAGGCTAGTGAGCAGGGTGGGTTATTCCTAGACTCTAAGGTAAATTCAAACAGGTCCAGCACATAGCCAAACTGAAGGCCAAGAATTGCTGAGTCTGGAATGTTCTCTGTTGGTCTCGTAGCATAACAGCCTCTGTGAGGTTTGAGTACTTTGAAACACCCGAGCCTGGGATTTTCTCGGATTTGCAAGGCTGCTTCGTGGTTGGACTGTTGGGATGACTGAGCAAGATGACGATGGAGTCAATACTGATTTACACTCCGCAGCAGAATGAGCCAGGCCATCCAGCTTGGTAGGAAGCTGTGGAAGGAAATGATTTTACAAACCAACAAAGTCAGAACTTCATGCAGTGAAGAAATTCTCATAGCTGGTCACTGGCCACTTCCTGCATCGTGCCTTCAGTGACTCCCTGGAAGCCCAATGGTTGGAAACTAGGGTCGCTGTAGAATGCTGTTCTAGTGTGTTAACTCAGGACACGAGCTGAAAGCATGTCTGCATTCTTTTTCTACCGGCTCTCTTCCCAATTTGTAACTCTCATTGAAGCCCACACCTTCATGCATCTTCCACAGGAGTGTTTGCCTCTCCATTCTTAATTCACACTCATATCGCTACTGACTTTGCAAGCTTACCCTGCCTTCAGCTTCACTCTGTGCCCATACACGGCATATTGACTGTGCCAAAACTCAGCACTCTCTGCTTCCCGTCCCCAAGGGTTGATTAAAAAAGCACAACACAACTAAACAAAATCTTATCTTGGGTCTTCCATTCTTGGCTCACCGCAGTCTAGCCCCAAAGTCTCCACATCTGCCCTAACCCTACTGCACTTGAATATAAATTCTCTATAGAGAGCTGTCTTTTTGACTTCAAGCCTTGTGTTTAGAATCTTTTTACTGCTGGGCAGTGGTGGCGCACACCTCTAATC